GACCCAGTGAGACACCCGCTCTCACAGCTCAGACCCAGTGAGACACCCGCTCTCACAGCTCGGACCCAGTGAGACACCCGCTCTCACAGCTCAGACCCAGTGAGACACCCGCTCTCACAGCTCAGACCCATTAGACACCCGCTCTCACAGCTCGGGCCCAGTGAGACACCCGCTCTTACAGCTCAGACCCATTAGACACCCGCTCTCACAGCTCGGGCCCAGTGAAATACCTGCTCTCACAGCTCGGACCCAGTGAGACCCCCGCTCTTACACACTCAGACCCAGTTAGATGCCTGCTCTCACAGCTCGGACCCCCCCACCTCCCCTGCTCGTGCAGCACATCTTGTTGAGGTTCCTGGGTATGAGGTGTCATCGCAGCACGGCCTCCCCCCAAACACCACAGCTCCTGGGGGAGATACCACCCGCTCCCCCCAGAGCTCTAATCCCTGAGCAGCAGCTGGAACCCTCCTGCACACCAGAATCACATGAAGAACTACGAACACAGGCCAGTACCCAGTTTCACACCAGACCAATCAAATCAGAACTTCAGACATAGGGACCGGCCTTCAGGGCTCTCTTAGGCATTCAAGTGCTCCCAGTGCCTGTACCCAGACAGTCCGGATTTAAACGACATAGCTTCACTCATTCTCAAAGTCAGACTTGATTACATTGAAATATCAGTATTGCTACTATTTAAAACTGTTAAAATCAGTATTTTCAAAGGAAACCTCTGTCAACAGTGTCACCTTTATGTGATACTGGGTGGTCGGAAAAATCACAACCAATTTCTCTATGTTTTTCTATGCAGAAATATATCATGACTTTTCCAATGACCCGATATATTCAGAGAAAACGCTGCGTTTTAAAATTTATAGAACAGGGAGCCAACAGATGGCATGCTGGTTAAGGCACTGGACTCTCATATAACTGACAACAGTTTAAGTCCCGGACCGGAAGGCTTGAAAATCATGCTGGCAGTTAGTGTAATGGCTATGTCGCTGGACTCCCACGTAGTCAACCGTGGTTCGCATCTCGGACCCGGTGGTTTAAAACTCACGCCAGGCGCGGGTGCGTGCGTGCCCAAGATCCCGAGAGGAGAACGGAGGAGAAGGGATTGTGGCGTGGCCATCTCCCCTGGGGGGTGATTTCTCACTTTCTGTCTCTCTGTCTGGCAAGCGCACACGCCCTATGGCAAAAATCTCTCCAAAAAAAATAAAAAAGAAAATCATGCTGGGCGCGAGTGTGCCCATGCCCAAAATCCCAAGAGGAGAAGGAACTGTGGTGTGGCCATCCCCACCAGGGCATGATTTCTCACTTTCTCTAGCACTGTCTCCCCCTCTGGCAAGCACGCACGCCCTATGGCCAAATCCTTTAAAAACTCCTTTCTCTTCGGGGGGAAAGAAACTTTACACAACAAAAATTACACGAATTCCAACATAACAGTAAACCCTGCCAAGTAGAAATGGTTAAATAAAAGGCATTTAAATAGTTGCTGCCCCTCCATTAACAGCCCTATAAAGTAAAGAACTGCCTAACAAACATCCAAATACTCAGCAGAGAGAAGAATAAAAGTAACTCACCTGAGAAATATACTTTTTCCACAGCGGCTCATCCTCACTGATGTCAAACTCATTCCAGCCGTGGAAGGCTCGCCTATGGTTAACTTCAGATTTGTTCAGACCATTCTGAAGATCGGCCTATTGGATTTCACACACCAAGTTAGCGGGCACGTTAGACCACAACGAGAGAAGGAAGCGCAGACGCAGACGCAGACGCGCGGTGTGATCACACCGATCACTTCCACAACAGCCAGAACTAGCCTGCGCGGACAGAAAGCTCTTCAGTGGCTGGCTGGGGCGAGGCTGACACAGTGGTGGATAAGCTGCGAAGGCACGCAGAGCTCCTGGACTGATCAAACGCTCTGCAGGTTAGCTGCAGTGGAGGTATGCGGTTCTGCGAGGTTAGAAGCCACTGAACATCAAGGTTCAATTAAACCGTCAACTTTTAACACATCAGGTATTTAGACACACCACGTGCAGTTTGAGACCCTGCTGAGGGTTTCTGTCTGTCTCTCCCCCACATGAAGTAAACAAACTTCTATTTAAAAGTTCTATTATCTGAACTAGGAGCGTGGTTACATTTGTCAACATGGAGACTGTACTTGAAGTAAGTGCCCTGGGGCTGGCAAGTGGCGTGGTGTCCCGGATCTGAGGTCTCGCTTTCTCACGTTCTCTCTCATCAAGTTTAAAAATAGTAAAAGCTAAGTAATTCTTAAAAAAGCAAAACAAAACAAAACAAAAAGCTGCATTGTATTTTATGTAAATTATGCCTCAATAAAAGACTGTTCTAAACATGCAGATGACAGGGCCAGCAATGACTAAGGCACCAGACACTCCCACACGTTCAACTGCAGTTCAAATCCCAGACCTGGTGATCTGCTTTCTCTCGCTCTCTCTCTCCCCCCCCCTTTCCTCCCCCTCTATCTCTGGTCAAATTAAAATAAATGAATGAATAAATAAAATTAAATAATTAT